CCTTTTGATTCATGACCTAATTTAAATAACATGCTATGAGGATCATGTCTGTCCCTCATGGTTCTAATTGCTTTTTGAGATATTTTAAGACCTGTGGTATATTGTCTTGGATGTATCATGGTAGAAATTTTTCTACCATGATAAGGGTATGATAAGGGTTCAAAAAAAAAATGATTTCTTGAATTAATAACTTGCGAAAAATCGGTTTGTAAATTTGAGGGTGTTACATGGGGCACTTATGACAATTCCATGAAATTATGGCAATTCCATCATGATGGAGATGGAATTGAATTCTAGGTATTTTGGTAGAATTGAAATCCATAAGGAATTGGATTCATGCATACCAAACAATTGAAAGTATGATTTTAATTTTAATTCCATTTCTCTTGAACCCAATTCTAATGTACCAAACATGACCTAAATGATTCTTAAGAGGCTGAACTGCTATCATTTAAGTTACACTCACTTGGTTATATAAATCACTTTTAACTATCTCATTTAAACTAAAGAAAGGTAATTAAGTGATTCAAGACTTCAAGTTGTTTGAAAAAGAAAGAAATTTCTAATGCAGGGCAATGGAGTAAAAATATCCAAGAAGTCATATGTCAAAAGCATCCAATAACCTAAAGTGAGTAAAAGTGCATAAATGTTCATGAAATTATTTTTTCAATACATATGTGACCAAATCATTACATTTTGGATTCAAAACATAATGATTAATGTTCTTAACTTTTAACGATTTGATTACTAATGCATTAAAAAAATAATTTTATGAGCATTCATACACTTTTTCTTACTTTAAATTATCGGATGCTCACTTTTTAGGTAGTTTTGCTTAGTTGCCCTCTGATATATTATTTTTTTAAGTAGTTACTTTTAATTAGGTCTATCAATGCTTGAATCTAATCCATAATCTTGTTAATAAATTTTATCATTTTAAAAAATATTTTCTCCCTCATAGGTAATATTTTTGTTTTATTATTCATAAAAAGTTGTGAAAGTTTAAAATTGAAAGAAAATATGATCCATCTTTTTGTACAAAATAACTTATCGAACTAGCCGTTAATTTTTTCTAATCATTTTCTGTGTGACCAAAAGGTGTATTTCTTATTGCCAGCCCAGCTTTTTCAGTGTGTCTATTTTTTTGAAAATGAAAATACTATTTTTCTAATCCATGATACTCCGCGATAATTATGTACGGTGTGGCCTCGTTCTTTTTTCTTGTCCCTCTTTCTTTTCTTCTCCTACCATACTTATAGTAATGATACTTCCAAAATTCTTTTGGAACTAAATAATTGATGCAAGAAATATAATAATAACCAGGTGGACGGAGCGGTTGGTGTTTAATTGAAGTGATGGCTCAAGCATCTGAGGCCCCTTGGCTTCTTTTGTTTCACTTTGGAGAGACATTTTAGTAATCAAGTCCTTCTCATAAGGTAATAAAAGAAAAGGAGAGAAAGTAAGAAAATGAAGCTGACAAATAAAAAGGGTTAAAAGTAAAAACAAAGCATCTCATACTCTATGTTCTTTATGATCTCCTAATTAGTATTAGTGTAAATTTATTTTTAGAATTTTCAAGTTAATATTAAAAAGGACATGCTTTTAGTTTTCATCATGATACATAAAATGATAAACAATGGGGTGTGTCTGTGTATACCTACCTCACGTAATAGGATGATGATATATTTGATTAAACTATTGGGCAAATATATAATTATATGTCGGTCTTGTATACAAATAATATCAACTTGTTTGAACAGCTTAGATAACAAAGTCACCGTTAAAAACAAAATTTCAGTGAAGTATAGAGTAGAAAACTGTGAAGTCAAAGTACGAGCAAAATGAAAAAATATATAACAAAAAAGCTCCACATACAACAGTCACAGTTAAAGTTTTTTTTTTTTTTAAATCCCTTTTAATCTCCAATTTTGATGCCAATCCCATCCACGTGTCATGTTTAAGGCCTTCTGTTGATGATTGAATGGATTTAACCGAGTTTCTTGTCATTTTGTGAATACTTTGACTCACTATTATTGTTTTTTTTATATTCTTTCCATTAGGAAAATATTTCCTGTTTTGTGTAACGCAAAACACTAAATGAGATAGTGTGAAGTTCTATTTAATCAAAACGCATTCTCTTTATAAGTATAACTTTAAAATATTCCATCAGCCGCGCCTGGCAAATAAGGAGAATAAAAGGACTCGAAAATATGGAAGAAGGATTTGCATGTTGTTGAGATGCGGTTTTTGTTTTACATTTTATATCTCATAATTTACTCAAACGAAGACATAAAACGTATAATTAATAATAATATACTCATCTCATAATTAGCCAATGTGTACATAAGAGGGAGTATTTTGAGGGAGCCAAAAAAAAAACAATTCACCCCAATTTCTATTATAAGGTTACTTTAAAAAAAATTAATTTTTAATACGAGACATTTGATAAGAATTAATTATATTTTTTAATATTAATTCTATTTAATTTATCAATTATAAGAGGGAATGTAATGTGAATTTTTTAAAAAATTAACAGAGATAAAATTAAAAATTTATTTTATTTTTAAATAAAGTTAATGAATTATTTACTTTTTTCAGAGCCCAATGAGATGATTAAAAATGTTTTATAATAAGAATTGAGAGAGGAAATGGAAAGGCGCGTGTATATTAAAAAAAAGCTGGTTTTGGACAGCCTTCCAAGTGGTTCGGCTGGCGCGAATCTAGGAATGATTAACCTCAGCAAATTCAACAACGTTTTGAAGACTACAGTGTAAGAAGGAATTTAAGTATGACGGAGATTTTTGTGTTTCTTAATTCATGAAGTCTAAGGTTTCGATGTTATTACCCCAAATGAGAAGGACAAGAGAGTAAAGGGAGCTAGATAACACGGAGGTAGCGGTAGCGTGAGTTGGAAATTTGGGAGAATTTCAACTAATGACTAAAAAGATATTCATCAGTTGGTCCCAACAAAAAATTTAAAATTTTACTATCAAATTTTTGGACTAAATTAAAATAAAATAGGTGATTAAAAAAATTAAAATATCCTTCATGTAAAATTAACAAGTATTTGATTACTATATAACTTTACTTATTAATTGTTTACTTATACATATTAATTCCTTAACAATACTTGTTAAATACTCCTCTAATCTTATTTATAAATCATTTTTAACATGTTTTATTAATACTAAGGAAAACATTAAAAATCATTAAATTTGTTTTAAAATTTAATAAATTATCAACTTTATCCTTATTAAATATACACATTTCAGTAACATATTTTTTCTTTTCAACATTCAATAGATGGTAAAAAAAATTATTATAAAAATTTAATAACGTGACTTATAAATAGGATAAAAAAACTCTTCTCTCTCTGTCCTATAAATAGGACCAGAGGGAGTAGTTAACTAGTTAATTTCATGACTCTATGATCTTAAGAACATTACTTGTTAATTTCATAACTTTACTTGTTTATTTGTCAACATGAGTTGTTAACCAGTTAATTTAATTTTTGAATCATTTGCAAGATTTATTCACTCAATTTGACTGAACAGCACTCTCATTAATTGTTATTTGTTTATTTCACTTGTTAATTTAGTTGTAAATTACCTAATTTTTCTTATCAATAACCATACTAATATCAATTGTTAATCATCTAACTTTTACTTATTAATTTACTACTATAAGTAAATTACATGACTTGCCAATGATTATACTAGTTTAATCATTTTGTCATAAATGCGGAATCATTAGTTGTTAATTCTTTAATTTTACTCATTAATTTATTAATATTAGTTTTCAATCATTTTTTTCTTTTGCAAAAGGGCATTTCGGTATTTTTAGTCACCTATTTTATTTCAATTTAGTCCAAAAAAATTGTAGTGAAATTTTAGATTTTTTTAAGATCTACTGATAAATGTCTCCCTTACATAGCCCTTGATTGAAATTATTCCTAGATATTTCCATTGGATGACAAAAAAGTTTTAAAAAGAAAAAAATTAATCATTTAATTATTATAATTTTAATTCAATTTTTAAACTTTGACTTATTATAACTTAGACTCTAAAATTTTGACTCGGTTTAAACTCAATTACTAAAATTTAACTGTTAAAATTTAGTCTCGACCATGTAAATATTGGTCTATGTATCTTAAAAATAAAATTATATTGATTAAAATTATCTTAATATTTATTACTAATATTTTAAATTACTCATCTCTTTTAATATTCATAAATATTATAAACATTGAAAGTTTAAAATATTTTTTATATTTTTAATTTTATTTTTTAAAATATAGGGATCAATATTTTAGTAACTGAAACTATAAGAATTGAATTGTAAGAGATAAAAATTAAAAATTAAATTATAACTGAATTAAAATTATAAATATTAAATTATAATAAGTTAAAATTTAAAAATTAAATTATAATTGAATTAAAAGTATACGGATCAAATAATAAAAACAGACATTTAAAAACGACCCTCCATTTTTCAGAAAACAGAAACAGGACTCTCGCTCGCTCTCTCTATGACCATTTCTGTCATTTTATAAGAAAAATGTACGATAATGCACGCCACACACATAAACACATGAGACCCATGGAAATCTCTTCTCTTTTCTTTTCTTTGTTTTTTCAAAAAAAGGGAGACAAGAATCTGCGTACAACCAATGCTGTACGAATCTGACTCTATCATCAATAATTTTTTTATATAAATGCAGTTCAGATGAGAAGCACCATATAGTCAGATGAAATTAAAAGCCATGAGCTTCTTGGCCCAAAAAAACAGGTCACGAGCCGACCCACAGCATTATCCATGGACCATCTACTCAATTATTCCTGATCATCATTGTGACTATTTACCTTTTTTTTTTTTTAATAATTATGCTGACATATTACCTTCAGTTACTTGCAATTCTGATGCACTACTATATCACTAAAATACCCTCGTCTTAATAAAAGAAATAAAAAAGACATAATTAAGAAATGTGGGCAGAAGTGTGAAAGAAATTTTTTGGGGCACAATAAAAGCAATTTGCTTAACAGAAAAATTAAACAAATAGTGAAATGTCCTTAAATTCATGGGAGCTTCTTAATCGCCACCCCTTCATCCACAGTTCAAACTTCACCCCACATCCCACCACCTATAAAAATCAATAAAAATTGAAATTAAAAATCAAGGAAATAAACAAAGAAATACAAATACGCGTCTCAAGCCACCGTGGTACCCCCCCAGCCACACTCCCCAACGGCATATCACCTTCTTCCTCCACTTCCTCACAACCCTACCCTTTTGTCCTCTTTCTCTTTTCTCTTTTTTCTTTTTCTTCCCCCCAACCCACCCAAAAAAAAAAAAATCTTCCTATTTTTCTTTCTTGTTTGCTCATGGCGTGATTGATCTCGGCGGAGTCCTCGACTCCGCCGGCGGCGTTTGACCGTCCGATCCCTTCGACGGATCGTCCGACGACTGCCGCAACCCCTCGTCGGTCTCGCTCCTGTTGATCTCCTCCATCATCCGAACCACCTCCTGCATCGCGGGTCTCTGATCGGGAACCACCGACACGCACGCCATGGCTATCTGCAACAACTGAACCATCTCTTCCTCTATATTGTGGTACCTCATGAGCTCCGCGTCGAACACCTCCGCCGTCCATTCTTCCCGGACCACCGACTGGACCCATCTCGGGAGGTCGATCCCCTCCTCGCCCAGCGACGCCTGGTTCGGCGCCTTCCCGGTGAGGAGCTCCAGCAGCAACACGCCAAGACTGTACACGTCGGATTTGAAGGTGACCTTCCGGGTCTCCACGACCTCGGGGGCCCGGTAGCCCGCGACCCGGTTGGAAGGAGTGGTGTTGGCGAACAACGGGTTGAGGCCGAAGTCCGAAACGCAGGCTTCGTTGTCGTGGAGGAGGATGTTGGAGGCTTTTATGTTGCCGTGGACCACTTTTCCTGACACGTGTAGGTGAAGCAACCCCCTGGCGGCACCCAGCGCTATTCTCATTCGGCCATCCCAGTCAAGGGGCGTCCTCCCTGACCCTCTGCTCCCTGTATCGCATTCCCAAAACTCAATTTTAGTATTAACCAATAATATTACTCGTAATGATCTTCATTAACACAAGGCATTATATTATAATCACATTTTTAGTGATAAAAAAGAAAAGCACATTTGGAAATAAACATTCCACTTAAGTAGTGTTCTTGGAGCATACAGCTTGCTTTCCAAGGCATAAAAAAGCACGCCTATTGCTTCTTCTTTTTTTTAAAATTGATGATTGAGGGTGGAAATTTTCTTGGCCCTTTTCTTCTATTTATTTAGGGAAAGGGGAAATAAATCAGATAATGAGGGGCATGTTGCTTGAAGGTAGGAACATGAAATAACAAAAGCAAAAGAAAGACCGGAGAATGTTTGCTGCAGAGGCATGAGTTGAAGGCCGCATCATGATGCAGCGCACACTACGCTCTGCTTTTGAACAAACATAATATTCAATTACCTCCATTATCAGCGCCAATCATCCCACACACACATTCTTATGTTCTACACTCCTATATTAAATTGGATTAAATTATAATATCCTCAATCTCCATCCTTATTTACAGCTGGAGGGAGTTGAAAATTTGGTCAACTTCTCTCACAAAACCAGAGAAAACAGTGCCAATTCACACATCAGGAATAATGTTCCGTATGAACATAATAAATGCCGGAGTGGCCTCGATAATTTTAATGTGGAACTGTTAGCTACTCTATCAGCATCAATTTAAAAAGGAAAAAGGAAAACAAATCAATTCAGTGAGGAAAAAATTGAGACGAGGGTTGAAAATGGTACCGTGAAGCAGAGCAGACAGGCTGCCGGATGCGAGGTAATCGTAGACGAGCAATTTCTCGTCTTTGGAGTAATAGTAAGCTCTGAGAGGAACCACATTATCGTGTTTAATCTTGCCCAGAACCTCCATCTGAGCATCGAAGTCTTTCTTTGTTACGGCCACGTCTTTTAATCTCTTCACCACCACCGTGGTTCCTTCTTCCAGCACGGCCTTGTAGGATGTTCCCACGCTTCCTTTGCCCAGAACTTCAGCGGAAGCTCTCAGCAGATCTTCCAAATCGAAGCTGTATATCCCGCCTTCGAAGAACACCAGCTTGTTCCTCTCCGCCTCCACGGACCCGCCGGTGATGTCGTCTTTTGAGGACGATGTTCCAGCCTCAGCCGGCACGGCACGTGTCGCAGCCACGGGCTTTGGCGATTTCGCTGGCTGGCTTCTGCGGCGTTTCCCAAGGCATAGCAGCAGAAGCAGTAGGAGGAGTAGCAGGGCCGCGGCAGAACACCCGACTGCGATTGCGATAATGGCGCCTTTTGAGAGCTTCTTGGACTTTTTCTGAGCAGGGGAAGAGGGCACGACGGGGGCGGAAGGCGACGGGGACGGAGACGGGAAGAATGGGGTGCATGGCGACAATGGTCCTCCGCAGAGATCTAAGTTTCCGGCAAATGAGGATGCAGGGAAATTGGAGAGAGACTTGGGGATCGAACCATTAAGCTGATTATAAGAAACGTTGAAGCCAACCAATTTGGCACTTATGCTGGGTAGATTGCCCGAGAATCTATTGTTTTGCAAAAATAGACCGGTCAAGTGGGTCAAGTTGTTGATTGAGAAAGGGATTGGACCCGTAAAGTTGTTGGACGAGAGATCCAAGCGCGTCAAACGACCCAACTGAGTCAGAGACGTAGGAAACTCACCGGAGAGCTGGTTGTCCTGGAGGTAAACGTTACGGAGCAACGTCAAATTGGAGAAATCGGCGGGGATCTCGCCGTCGAGAGCATTCGAGCGGAGACTGAGGACTCGTAGCTGAGTGAGACGACCGATTGTGTTAGGAGGAATCCCGCCCAAAAGGCCGACGCCTGGAAGACGGAGAGAAAAGACGAAGGAACGAGAAGAGTCGCATTGGACCCCAAACCAGTTGCAGGCGGAGTCGGAAGCGTTCCATTGGACCCGATTCGCGTGTGGGGTCTGAGAGATGAAGGCAAGGAGGGCTTGCTTGTCCCGAGTCGGCTCCGTACTGACTCGCACACTCAGTATCAGAAGCGAGACGAAGAAGACAATCATCAAACGCCAATCGCGAAAAAGGTCTGCCATTGGGGCACCTCAGCTCTGTTTATCCAATAATACTAGAGGAGACAAGGAGGAAGAGATCAAAAATGCGATCCTACGGGCGTCCATGAGGGGAGTTGCAGAGAAGCCCAGAAGCGGTTGTCCGGCGGAGTGCCATGGGAGAAGGCGGGAGGAGGGGGGAAGGGGCGTAGAGAGAGAAAGAGAGTGAGGTGTGTGAGTGGGAGAGAAAAGAAAGGGGGAAGAGGGTTTTGTAAGATTGTAAAAGAGAACAGTATCACGAGGGAGGGCTCCAAAGCGAACACAAGAAGCTGTCTTGCTGGCATTTGTCGAAACGTTATTCATTTTTTATTATTATATTTTTCGTTGCAGTAAATCAAGTTATTTACTACGGAGTCCACTGCAAGGCTTTTATACCTTGACCCCAAAAAAACTAAAAAAGAGAACACCGGTTTTAGCAGCCACGCGCTGATCTCCCGCGTGTAGATAATATTTGTATTACTATTATGCATTTATGCGATAATAATGATGATGTACAAACTCGAACACATGTTAAACAGGGTTTAAGTAAAGATTGTAATGTAAGCATGGGCATGGGCATGGGCAAGAAAGGGCGGGCGGGGACGTTGGCTTGGGATAATAAGCAAGTACTGAGAGTGCTAAATTGTTGGGTTAGGATTAGGATATTAAATGGTTGTGCGAGGGGTTAAGGAAGATGGTGGAAGGGCATAAATGGTAATCCGAGGTCAAGCTGCAATGTTGCCCATGCTGGATCCACCTATGGGCATCATCATTTGTATGCTCCCTTGAACTGCCTATTCAACAATTAGTTGTGCATTAAAAAGGATTTAAAAGTTTTTTTTTTTTTGCCCCAGGAAAAAAGGATTTAAAAAGTTAATAATTGATTAAAATTAGACTGCGTTTATTACTTCTTCATCTACTAAAAAGAAATGATTGTCCTTTTTATACGCTATTTTATATTAAAATGTGAATTATTAATTGTTTTTTAATAATATTACCACATAATTTATGAATGGGTAAAAAAGTCATATACAAGGAAAAAATATTTTTAAAAATGCCATATTTATTAAGGGTGAATTAAAGAACTGTTTTTTTAGATAACATCAACAGTTTAATTCAGTGAAATAGTTAATAAGGGAGTTTTTCTTTTTTCGTTCAAATAGGGAGAGACCCAGACGAGGATCTATGACTACAAGAAACGTATCTACCCCACACCAAGAGCATTGTCTTGTAGTAACGTCCTCAACTCTTCGGGAGAGTGATCCGGATTATGCAATCGAAAGAAACTAAGAAGTCAGCATATTTATTCTTTTCGCATTAGATATGTGTAACCTCAACTTGTCATTCTCTATGTAAGAAAAGGAGAATTTATCCAAGCAAACGGCTGCTAGCGTTCACCGATATACGATTGCACATTAAGCGTTTTGAATAGAAAGTAAATGATGCATGCGGCTCCAATTATATTTGTTTTAGATTCTTCATCCTCTTGTAGGGGATGTTGAGGTTGGAAATAACTTGTCCGTACTAATAGAAGCCTGCCTTTAGACCTAAATGGGTGGTCTTTTTTTTTTTTTGGAACAAAAAATGGGTGGTCTAATATAATCGAAAGGGTAAATCAGTGCAACAAACGAAAACCAAACGGGGACTTGATAGTTAATACTGAAGATAAAAGTTGATTCGCACATGGGCGACTGAAAATATGAAATTGAAATGTCAAATTTTCTGATGCCTCTGATTCTAAGAACAAATGTCTAGATCCTTCCCTCGAATCTTAGTACTTCCAAGCGTATTTCTCTTGCTTATTAAAAAAATTTAAATTCCATTTAGTTGTTAAAAAAAAATAAGAATAAAATAGATTAAGAAAAATAAGAATGGACTACATTACTATTTTTTTTATAGTAAACTTGATAAAATTTAATATTATATATCACAAATATACAACATCACACTTTTTAAAAATCTTATGAATAATAATTTTTAATATTGTGAATTAAATTATCCTTTATCTTTATGATATGGCTCACCTGTCTCTTCCACATTTTTTGTTATTATATTTTTTTTATTTTTTTAATCCATTACATTTCTTTCTTTCTTACTACCTTTCTTTTTGAATAGGACAAGTATTATGTGAACATTCAACAAGCGCGCGCGCACACACACTCTCTCTCTCTCTCTAATAGAACCCGGAAGCTAAATTTTCCTACACTCTCTTGGTTGGAGTGGTGTTGAAAATACTAAAAATAAGATTCATGTGACATGCTTAATAAAAAGCTAACTAATTAGCACATCCATCATTTTTTAAAATAAGGGATGCTAAAAAATTTAGTCCCTAAATTTATTTTAATTATTACTTTAGTCTCTTGATTGTTGTCTCAGTTGTTTATTTGAGAATCATTGTATGAAGAGGAGAGAATGATAGTAAAGTCTTAAAAAATTGAATTGAGAAAATTAATTTTTTATTTATATATCACTTTCAATATATTTTGTCAATATAAAAGAAAATCCTAAACCTCATTACCTCCATCTAAAAATTTAATAAACTTTTATATTTATTTTTATTAAATATATATATTTTTTCTACTGACGAATAAAAGAAGAAGTTTGTGATGGCTTATAAATAGAATAAAAAAATTATTCTCTCCCTATCCTATAAATAAAACCAAAAAAGCAGTAGTTAAGTCGTCAATATTTTTTAAAAGATAAATTGCAAATATCAATTAAAGTTATTGCAAAATGAAGATTGATTGCTATGTATAAATCATTTTTTTTTTAAATTCATGAACCTAACTATCATTCTCCTTCAAAACACCAAACGCGGTACATATAAATATCCAAGGTGACAGCTGACAATTCACTTCAAATTCATGAAAATACGGAGAAATCTTTGTTGATGTATTCAGTGTAAATCCCTGATAAATTAATGCCGCATGGACAAGCAATTGAATTATAGATACCTAAAAACTCACTACTTTGTTTTATAGGTATATATTTAGACAGATACCGTAATATTGTTCAATTAATTATCACCTAGCAACAAAAGGCACTAGTTTGAAGTTTAGAGAAATCCCACATCTCCCTTTCATTTGATTGGACCACTAACCCAACGACCCGGTCCTATTATGGAGCGCGTTTCTTATTCACACGTGCTAATACCAGGTCAAATTCATCCCTATTATCCCTATTTCCCTTGCTTATTTTCTTTTCTTTTCTTTTTTCAGTAATTTAATTTCTGGGATACTTGTTCACTTAAAATGATTATACTATTACATATAGAAATTAGTATTACGTTGTCCAAGACTAAAAATGATGTAAAAAGTCCCACATCATTTAAAGTTGGGCTAATAATTAATATATAATGAAGAGAAAAGACTCGTAAATTTAAACCTTGAGTTTTTGAGTTTAGATGTGACGTCTTTTCGCTATTCTTGCCCATCTCTCCTTTTCCTTAATTCCCAAGTGATCCTAATGTTTAAATTCTTGTTGAAAGAGATATTCATATTCAATACTTGACCATTCCTCAAATAAAATTGTTTCTAATAAAAAGACATTTAGTAAAAAGAAAAATAGCTTTACTAACCCAGCCCAATTAACATAAGTGGATAAAAATAGCTGCTTCTTTGTTGTTGTTTTGGTCAGTTTTCACTATCTTCAAAGAGCCATAACCTGCTTATATTTTCTTGACAATCTTAAATCCAACAAATTTTTAATCAACGTAGGGTTTTTACTTTGGGAAAATGATAGAGCAATTTTTAAAAATTAATTAATTTAACTTAAGATTTAAGTGTTAGGTGTTAGAAATTTACAAGTTTGAGAAAAATAAATTATAAATTTATCATAATAATTGTAAAATTGAAGAGTCAAATTTATAAATTTTTAAAATTTGATACTTACAATTTAAGTTGAATTAATTAGTTAGTCTTTTTAAGAACTTTATGTCATTCTCCCTTTCACCCTGCAGAATAGAGCTTGGTAACACATGTGATTGGTCAGAATTTTTTAGTTTCTCAGTTAATCAACTGTCAATGCACTGCAATAATTGACTAGTCAAAACAAGCAAGTGATGCTTATTTGTAAATTAATAATCACAAATTTAAGGATATAATTGTGAGCTAACGACAAAAGTTAGTATAGTTAACTATAAGATATGACTCATGTTAGTGGTGTGAGTACATTCTATCAGTTAGTGAATAATCTATAAAAATATTTTTGATATATTTTTTTTAATGGCTCACAAGATTTTTTTTTATTGAAGGCAATTTTATTGTTCAAGACATAACTAAGTATAAATGTGAGCACCTCTTTTAATAGAGTTTTAACCTTATTTACTATATCATTAGTCACCAGTCCCTTTTGCTAAACTTAATTCCAGTCAATTCATAGGTGTATTTAAGCTATTATTTACGTCTTTTTTTTAATGACTCATAGAACAAAGCTTTTGTCGATAAAAAATAAGTCACAGTTCCATAAAAAACAAAGATATAACATCAAATGTAGATCAATGATCGTGGATATAAGTAACCACTTCTATCAATGCGTGAGGGAGGGAGGAGAGAGTTAAAACTTAATCTTGAAAACGAACCGAGGTCCGAAACACCAAGAGTGAAGTTATTTAATAATTGACAGATAATAAGCTTTCTTACGTTGCGTGATGTTTTTATTGACAAAGTTTATTGCTCATAAATTGTCCGGCCATGTCACTTTCATAGCTTGAGTATGAATATTTTATGCTTATATCTTTGTTTGTTGTTGCTCTGCTCGGTTCCATCTTCACTGAACTCTATTGCTACCGAAAAGGCTAAGGCAATTAGAATCATTCATTCGCGGTCTTCATTATTCAATTCAAGTTAGGTTCACTTAACACATATTTTTGCTCGATAAACAGAATTTACATCATCCCTTTCGCCAACTGATCTCTGAAAAAAATACATTTAATTGTATCAAGTTGACCTACAAAATATGGTGGCCCTTAAAATCAGTTAAAGGAGAAATTTTAATTCAAGAAATATTGTAGACGAATTAACCGTGACAAGAAAAGAAGGTATGTCCACTAAAAGCCATATTGATTTGCATACAAAATTCTCTTTTCTACACAATAGAAGGCTCCCTGGAAGTTGAACAATCACAATTAACAATAATTTTATACCCAGTTCTAAAATTAAGAAAAATCATGGATCCTTTTTTTTTTTAACATGTTAACTTTCACAGGACAAATTA